AACAGTGGGCAAGTGCCAAAAAACACTGGGCAAGTGCCAAAAAACAGTGGGCAAGTGCCAAAAAAATAAGTTTTCATAACAGTCCCGAAACAGAGCATTTCTTCGTAGCACGCGTTTTCAGTAGGAGCAAATTGCTTGCACCCGACGGCCCTACCAACTGTGTCGGAACGCAGATTAAGAACAAAAACAAAAAACAGCAAGAGCAAGTTGCTTACACCCGACGGTCCTGCCAACTTAGTCGGAAGGCAGATTAAAAAAGAAAGAAATCAGAAACCAATTTCAAAATCACACAAAAAAAGAAATCAAAAACCATTTTCAAGAATACACAAAAAAACAAAGAAGTCCGTGAACAAAGCGTTTCTCCGGAGTGCGCGTATTCTGCGGGAGCAGGTTGCTTGCACCCAACAGACACTCCCTCAACTCAGCAGGGTCCTTCGAGCAGCCTCGGCCCAGTCTGGGGCACATCTTCGTACGAAACTTTGCAGAGTCCTGGCGAACACCATTCCAGGATAGCCTTGAATTCGTAACAATTGATGAACATATATACAAGTGCTGTAATTATCAAGCGATAAACAGTTGGAAAATATTGCGGCTTAAAAAAAAAAAAAAAAAAAAAAAAAAAAAAAAAACTGATTAAGTAGAATACTAATAATTTTTATTTGTATATAATCTTTGATATTGTTATTATGTACTACTGATAAAAATTAATATTTTTTAAATTATTTTTTAGTTTTTTCCTAGGGTACCAGAGTGGCCCAAGGTCACTACCCCGGCAAGGCCAAAAACAATTAAAATATATATCTATATATATATATATATATATATATATATATATTTTATTCTAAATTTGGTGCAGAATTTCAACGTGACCCTGTGGTAAAAGTTGTTCAGTTTATTTTTCTGCATAACATAGTTTGTTTTTGGAGGTTTTGGATGTTTTTTTTTTTTTTTTTTTTGGCTGGGACCTTCCTTGGTCCTTGCACGGGCTGCCCACCCGGGACCCGGTCAGCTCGGCTGGTAGCCTAGGTTTTTTGTTTTTTAATTATTACTGCATCTACGGAAAAGTCTAAAAAATTTTGTATTAATAGATTATATGTTCATTTGTTTTTTTTATTTGATCTAAGAAATGAATTGTAATTTCATTTGTCTATACAAAAATTGATTGAGAAAGATTCTCAATCATTTATTTGTGTCGCTGTATCATGTAGTTCTAAGTTCAAAAATGACAAGAAGAGCATAACATAGTACAAAGTACAATTGTAGAGCTCAAAAGCAATCAGCGAGTGTTGTGACATAATCATCAACACCCGCGGTAGCATACAAAGTAATCAACTCAAATACAGGAATGGCGTCCCCGACGCCGTTTCGGCAACTGCCACGTTGCCTCATCAGGGGGTCTTCCACCAATCAGTCCACGCACTGGCCTATCGTTCACTAACCCACTTCCGTCACATCCGCTTCTAGCATTCCGGAATACTAGGAGCTTCCGTCAACGTCAGCCTGAAGAGGTTGAGTACTCCGTCACAAGGTCCATATATCGGTTCGTAGTCAGAGTCGTGTAACTTACGCTGAAAAAGCACAGTCCGGTACCAGTCCAAAACAGTCCTACAACACACTTCGAGCACATCCTGGTACCCATCGTGTATCAGCCAAAAGGTTACCGCCTACCAAAAACAGTACAGGGGTACCATGGTACAAAATTCGAACCACGGTACCTTAGCCACCAATATGACAAACATACGCACAACAAAAAGCAAAACAAAGCACTTTAAAGAAAAGTATCCTACCCCTATCCAATATCTGAACACAGTACACACATGCAGCCAACATCCTATGAAAAATAGTCAACGATCTCATCAACAATTGACAAACATACCCTATCTATTGATCCCCAGCTAATCACACAGAAGCTTAACAGTCTCCTGCCATGCCAAATCCTTTCCACAGGCAAATCTTTTCAAAACGCGGTCAAAGCTCTCTCGCGGGTATTCCTTCAGGCGAAGCTCCCTTCGCACAGTGAGGACACGTTTCGGGATCTCGGCCCGAATGGTCGTATTCTGATCAATACGATTCAAATGTCCACCGATAATAGCGTTTTTAAGCTGCTTGCTACCCCATGATGAATAAGTCTGCCCGTTCGAAAACACCAACGGCTCATCCTGCCAAATCGACTCTTCATTCTGACACAGCTTAACACATCCAAGAAATGGAAACACCTGCTTGGTTTTCACTTCACACCCAAGAAAATTCAGACAACCACCGCCGTCGTTTGTCCTCTTCAAAATCAAACCAACTGGATAACACTTATCCAGTTTCTTGAGGACTTTCGCATGTCCATCATTCTGCAGTGTTGCCGTTATCAGCACGACATCATCAACCACCCTGATTCCAAACACATTGTATCTAACATTGCCAAGGCTCAGCAGGAATCTCGTTTCAAACACAGCACACAAGATGCATGCAAGGGGTGGACTCGTACTCTTTCCCATTGGTATACCAATGATCTGCCTCAGCAGTACACCTGTCGCAGTAGTGTAGGTATGGTTCAACTCAATTTTGACAAAAGCCAAAATATCCGTCAGTTGAAGCTCCTTACAATGGTCAGCCCCTGTTGTCTTCCCAACGTAGCACCCTTGCCCCTTGTGTTTACGCTTATTGAGAACCTGCCTTTACCTAGGTAATTCCTGATCAACCAACACACGGCGTCGACGATATCATAATGCAACAACTTACTAAACATCTCCTTAATGTTGAAGGCGGCAGATCTGCCAACACCAACTTGCCTTAAGGGATAAATCTTTTGATTCACCCTTTGCAGACGATCAGCTAGGTGTGAGACACCCTGCAGATTGAAGTGCGTATCCACCGACAACTAGAACAAAAGGTGGTTCAGTGCCTTCGCGACCAGCCGCCCAGTACGAACCATTGGCTCCTTAAACGTCGAACAAATCGGTCGGTAACGGTTGGTATCTTTATGTTTCGGCAGCACATATGAGCAACTGAATACACCTTTTTCGTCCGATCTAGCAAACTTCGTATGCCCAGCTTCCTGGACTTCTTCCCTGATTTCACGCATGACTTCACAAACTTGATACTGAACAATTCGATAACCAGGGCTCAAAACAAAGGTATCAGTCATGGCAGCATAATACACCGCTGGGCACATTACCAGTGTATCTCCAGGGTTATTGTCTAATGGTGTGCGAACGAGGCCATCCAGTTCCTCCAGAATACTCGTCACAGCAGTCATTGACAATCTTCCTACACCATCCAAACATTCCTGAATGCACGCATCGACACGGTTAGCATCGATCTTCGGACGCTGACCTTTCAAATTCTTCCATGCAGCGAACCCATCACGAATTTCTCTACGTAGAAGTCCAGATCGATCCGTTACACATGCTCTAGGGATATCATGCGCATTTGACAACAGCCGATGGTGCTGTTCACCCTGACTAAGACGAAAGCATACGTGACCCCTCACCCGAGGATACGTTTTACCTGCGCATTGGCAGGTCGCAATCTCATGAGCAGCGAAAGTACGCTGATTGTGGATAAGGTCGCCGACTGACTGGTTTTTGGTCCAGACAATTCTAACATTCTTTCGCGCACGCTTCATCAAAGAAGGGGGTAAATCACATGCCACAATACCATCATTAACAATCTTCCGCACTTCTGCCAACTTCACACGATCATCAAACTTAACCCGAATCGTTAGATCAACAAACATGACCCAACCAAAACCATCACGGATCCGGCAAGATAAAATGCGTCTAAGATACTTATGCGTTGACTTCCTCGTAAATTGTTTAATCGCACCATATAGTCTCATCATGGATTTTACTCCCCATCTTCTAAGTTCGTCTAACTTAGCCAGGTTTCTCAAAATACCTACCAGCAGCTGTTTAAGGAAACCCCCACTCGTCTTCCAAACTCGTAGGTAATTTAGCTTGACAACACAACCCTCCTAAAAAGCCGCCTTCGAATCCTTCAGTTTTAACAGGCCACCCGTCCCTTCGATCAACATTTCCTCAAACCGTTTCCTTATCTTCTTCCAACCCGTAGCCCAGGTGGTACCCCCACTCGATTCAATCGATTCAATCGAGAAGGCTCTTCGCCCAGCCTGTTCGCTTTGTAAGAGGAGATCCGAGAGATCCATTGTCCATCTTGGCTCAGACGTGAACTTGAAGCGAAAAGGATTGACCGATCAACAACCCCCGGATTCTAAATGCCCTCTCCTCCTCTCCCTTCTCCGCTTCTTCTTTTTTTCCAACCTTCCTACCTTTCTTCAAACCAACAGAATTCAGAAACGGTGACCATTGCTTGATATAGGTGCCTTCGAGTTTCAACAGATCCTGCTCTTCACCAGAATCTACAGGGATCAAAACATAGTTGCCATCCCCGTAGGATCCCAGCCATTAATGGAAATGAGAATGCTTCTTGGTCCGGCATGTCGACAAGTGTTCTCGCCAGTGAACGTCAACGCCTCGACAGGTCTTGCCAATATATTGCAGCTTGCAAAACGGCGAGACAACAATATAGACACAGTTCTTTAATTGCAAAAAATCATCCCCAAATCGATTAAAAAGCCTCGTTCATGATTCACTGACTTTCTTTGTCCATCTCAGCTCACCGCGCAACGTCAAAAGGACAATACAGATTCTCAAAATCTCTTCAGCATCCCAGTCTGTTCGCGTCTGCTTCTCTCGATACTCGGTCAACTCACACACGACACGCCAAATCTCGTCAGTTCCGTAAACAAATTACACCTCGCTCACAGGTACCTCGGTCTCACCCGTTAAGGATTCTTCATCTTCCAGCTCAACATCCTCGGATGCCTCCACTCCCTCGATTTCACCAAATGCTACGCGCGTACGATGACTTGCAATGTCGAAGATAGCTTCGACCTTCCCATTGTACGGGATTCCTTCCTTCCTGCAAATCGATTGCAGATCTTGCGCATCCAACCCACAGACTTTGTTCATGGCCAAATTGCGGTATCGAAGTTTAGCCAGAGTAGTCGTTGCCCGTGGACTCTGCTTGTTCCGTGGAAAATAAGGAGATAATTTCGTCTTCAGCTTCCCTTTCAACTTCGTGAGGCGACACTATCCTTCTCCCGCTTTGGTCTTGGTTGATCTCGGAGTCTTCGCAGGGGTCAACACAGGTGGGCTGTCGTCGAAGCTTGGTTCAGACCCCCTCTTTCGTTTCTCCGTAATCGTCAAATTCCGAGTCTGCTTACTCAAGCTTTCAGTCACGCTCCCCTCATATTCCTGATCTGAGTCAGATTCGCTTTCAGACAGCACCACGATCTTCTTTTTCTTCGCCTTCGCTTTGCGTGTCAGAGCAATCGCTGGCCCTAATTCCGTCTGCACTCGATCGAAGAAGTCATCGGTCTTCGTCGCCAAACGCAGTGCCAAGCGTTCCTCCATCGTCGCCTCACATTCGACCTCCTTCTGCTGCTTAGCCAACTTCTTCCTAGCTTTCTTTTCACGTACCTCTTTTTCCCTGATCAGTCGTTGTTCCTCCTCTTCCGCCTCCTTCTTCCAACGTTCCTCTTCCGCTTTCTTCAGTTTTTCTTTCTCGACAAACTCTGATACCGATGCCAGACTCTTATTAAGTTCGTCGATTTTCTGCTGTAGTGCCTTCGCTTCCTCCGTCAGACCTGGCTTCGTCACATCGTGCTCCTCCTTCTTAGGTGACCTTGATCTTCCTCGTGCCCCATAGGAACTCGAAGGACGATTTCGATTAGGACACTAATTTTCATAATTGCCCATGTTCATTGCCTGAAAAACAACGTGGAGGAGATCGCCGCTGCCTATCACGATCATAAGACCTCTCATGTCCCCTGTACCCGCCACGTTCGTCACTGCTTGAGCGTCGATCACGCCGATCGTAGTCTCGTCGGTCTCCCATCGCTGCACGCCACCAGTTGATTCCAGTTCCGTTCTCCAATACACCAATGTAACGTAACAGTAACAAGTTCGGAAACACGTTCACTACTTCCAGTAATTTCTGTCCAGAAGTGTTATCGTCTGCTGTCAAAAGTTCAAAAATGACAAGAAGAGCATAACATAGTACAAAGTACAATTGTAGAGCTCAAAAGCAATCAGCGAGTGTTGTGACATAATCATCAACACCCGCTGTAGCATACAAAGTAATCAACTCAAATACAGGAATGGCGTTTCGACGCCGTTTCGGCAACTGCCACGTTGCCTCATAAGGGGGTCTTCCATCAATCAGTCCACGCACTAGCCTATCGTTCACTAACCCACTTTCGTCACATCCGCTTCTAGCATTCCGGAATACTAGGAACTTCCGTCAACGTCAGCCGGAAGAGGTTGAGTACTCCGTCACAAGGTCCATATATCGGTTCGTAGTTAGAGTCGTGTAACTCACGCCGAAAAAACACAGTCCGGTACCAGTCAGAAACAGTCCTACAACACACTTCGAGCACATCCCGGTACCCATCGGGTATCAGCCAAAAGGTTACCGCCTACAAAAAACAGTACAGGGGTACCATGGTACAAAATTCGAACCACGGTACCTTGGCCGCCAATATGACAAACATACGCACAACAAAAAACAAAACAAAGCACTTCAAAGAAAAACATCCTACCCCTATCCAATATCTGAACACAGCACACACATGCAGCCAACATCCTATCATGTAACTTGATATTTGATTTGTGATCAGAAGATAGTTGTTGCATATCGTTTTCCCAATCGTTTATTTGTGTCGTCATATCGTTGTTTATTGATGTCAACTCTTGACTTGTAGCCATTTCGTTAGAAGTTTAAAACTGTTATTTTTAATAAAGAAATACGAATGATCTGCAACACATGAAAATAAAACACAAATTGTTTGACATTAATTTGTTAGTGAAGATGTATTGTCTATACATTTAACATATGTCATTTCCTATAACATTTTGAATGTCATTTTCATATGTGATGACATTTGTATTTTGAAAATGATATTTTTATAAATAAAATTAACTTTTGCTTATGACTTATAATTGATTTAAGTGTTTACATATTTGTACTTAAGCCTTTGCTTATGGCCTAGTTGTTAAAATTATAAAAATTGTCATTTTATATGGCTTCTTAAAAATTATGATTCATATGGTTTTCACTTGGAGTCTTTTGTTTTGGCTTATGATTGATTATGGTCTTCACTTAGGGTCATATTCATTGTTTGAAATAATATTTGTACCAAGGCGTTTGCTTAGGGCCATTGTTTAAAATGATATTTGTACTTAGGCCTTCACTTAGGGTCATTTGTAGTTAAGCCTTAAAGTCGTCATTCATATGACCTTCACTTAGGGTCATTTTAAATCATGTGTCATTTTTCATATCATTGCAATGTTTCATATCACAGTTTCAAACGGGTTTTTACAGAAGAAATATTTGTACTTAAGCCTTCACTTAGGGTCATTTGTACCTACGCCTTAAAGTTGTCATTCGTTTGACCTTCACTTAGGGTCATTTTAAATCAGGTGCCATGTTTCAAATCAGAGTAATGTTTCATATCACAATTTCAGATGGGTTTTGTATAGAAGAAGTATTCGAATTGTCAGATTGTTGTCATCTCATATGTTGTGTCAATATATGTCTGGTGACTTTCACTTAGAGCCTTTTGTTTTTAGCTTATGATTGATTATGGGGCCATTGTTTGAAATTGTATTTGTACTTAGGCCTTCACTTAGGGCCATTTGTAGTTAGGCCTTTGCTTAGGGTCATTTGTAGTTAGGTCTTTGCTTAAAACCTAAAAGTTGACTTTACAAAAAATATCATTTCGTATGGCTTTCACTTAAAGTCATTGACATTTGAAAAATGTATGATGACTTTTACTTAGAGTCTTTCAAATGAGTTTATGAAAATAGTGCATTTATATTAAACTAGGGTATTTCCAAAGTCACCATATAAAGTGATTCATTGATCGGTTGATTGATTGATTGATTGATTGGTAAATGGATGAAGGTCGTTAATTCAATTGGTTGACAACAAGGGCAGGATGAGGTCCTTAAAATATATGTGTGTGCGATGTCATGTTGATAACTCCACAGAAAATGACGACTACTAACAACTCGACAGTTGAAAGCATGACTGTGGCTGACAGTTTCGTCGGCCAGTGTGACCTTTCAAAATTGTGACATGCGGAGAGGACATGCTGCTTAATTTGTATGAAGGACCATCACTTTTCTCTCAGTCTCATTAATGCATTTGGAGGTGCATGTTGACGAAAACGTGAGGAAAATACGAGTATAATCACTGCACGTTCTACTCTCAGGATCACCCTCCCAGGTGATGTGGACTGAAACGTGAGGAAAATATTAGCATAATCACTGACTTTTTTTTTTTTTTTTTTTTTTTTTTTTTTTTTTTTTTTTTTTTTTTACAGGAACAGTTCTCCCTACATCTGCTGGTATTGTTTTTTTTTTACTTTTTTTTTTTGTGCCCCCCCTCATGGTGGTATGATGTCGAGAGGCCAACGAGAAGCCACTTGGGAGAGGGAAATGAGAAGCGATCTGACGTGCGCTCAGGATTCTGCGCCCGAACAAAGCTGAAGTGGTCTAGGAATGGAATGCGAGGTCAGCGCCGTAGTCCACGACGGGGTGGCTCCACAAATATATATATATATATATATATATATATATATATATATATATATATATATATATATATATATCGTCAAATAGAACTGCCCGGTAAACCGTAGGCAGAGAG